CCAGGTGCAACGCGCCAAGGCCAGGTGCAACGCGCCATAGCCAGATGCAACGCTCCATGGCCAGGTGCAACGCGCCATGGCCAGGTGCAACGCGCCAAGGCCAGGTGCAACGCGCCATGGCCAGGTGCAACGCGCCATGGCCAGGTGCAACGCGCCAAGGCCAGGTGCAACGCGCCATGGCCAGGTGCAACGCGCCAAGGCCAGGTGCTACGCGCCATGGCCAGGTGCAACGCGCCATGGCCAGGTGCAACGCGCCATGGCCAGGTGCAACGCGCCAAGGCCAGGTGCAACGCGCCATGGCCAGGTGCAACGCGCCAAGGCCAGGTGGAACGCGCCATGGCCAGGTGCAACGCGCCATGGCCAGGTGCAACGCGCCATGGCCAGGTGCAACGCGCCAAGGCCAGGTGCAACACGCCAAGGCCAGGTGCAACGCGCCATGGCCAGGTGCAACGCGCCATGGCCAGGTGCAACGCGCCATGGCCAGGTGCAACGCGCCATGGCCAGGTGCAACGCGCCATGGCCAGGTGCAACGCGCCATGGCCAGGTGCAACGCGCCATGGCCAGGTGCAACGCGCCATGGCCAGGTGCAACGCGCCATGGCCAGGTGCAACGCGCCATGGCCAGGTGCAACGCGCCAAGGCCAGGTGCAACTCGCCAAGGCCAGGTGCAACGCGCCATGGCCAGGTGCAGCGCGCCATGGCCAGGTGCAACGCGCCATGGCCAGGTGCAACGCGCCAAGGCCAGGTGCAACGCTCCAAGGCCAGGTGCAACGCGCCAAGGCCGGGTGCAACGCGCCAAGGCCAGGTACAACGCGCCATGGCCAGGTGCAACGCGCCATGGCCAGGTGCAACGCGCCATGGCCAGGTGCAACGCGCCAAGGCCAGGTGCAACGCGCCAAGGCCAGGTGCAACGCGCCATGGCCAGGTGCAACGCGCCAAGGCCAGGTGCAACACTCCAAGGCCAGGTGCACACGCCAAGGCCGGGTGCAACGTGCCAAGGCCAGATACAACGCGCCATGGCCAGGTGCAACGCGCCATGGCCAGGTGCAACGCGCCATGGCCAGGTGCAACGCGCCAAGGCCAGGTGCAACGCGCCATGGCCAGGTGCAACGCGCCAAGGCCAGGTGCAACGCGCCATGGACAGGTGCAACGCGCCATGGCCAGGTGCAACGCGCCAAGGCCAGGTGCAACGCGCCATGGCCAGGTGCAACGCGCCAAGGCCAGGTGCAACGCGCCATGGACAGGTGCAACGCGCCATGGCCAGGTGCAACGCGCCAAGGCCAGGTGCAACGCGCCATGGCCAGGTGCAACGCGCCAAGGCCAGGTGCAACGCGCCAAGGCCAGGTGCAACGCGCCATAGCCAGGTGCAACGCGCCAAGGCCAGGTGCAACGCGCCAAGGCCAGGTGCAACGCGCCATGGCCAGGTGCAACGCGCCAAGGCCAGGTGCAACGCGCCATAGCCAGGTGCAACGCGCCATAGCCAGGTGCAACGCGCCAAGGCCAGGTGCAACGCGCCATGGCCAGGTGCAACGCGCCATGGCCAGGTGCAACGCGCCATGGCCAGGTGCAACGCGCCAAGGCCAGGTGCAACACGCCAAGGCCAGGTGCAACGCGCCATGGCCAGGTGCAACGCGCCATGGCCAGGTGCAACGCGCCATGGCCAGGTGCAACGCGCCATGGCCAGGTGCAACGCGCCATGGCCAGGTGCAACGCGCCATGGCCAGGTGCAACGCGCCAAGGCCAGGTGCAACGCGCCAAGGCCAGGTGCAACGCGCCATGGCCAGGTGCAACACGCCAAGGCCAGGTGGAACGCGCCATGGCCAGGTGCAACGCGGCAAGGCCAGGTGCAACGCGCCAAGGCCAGGTGCAACGCGCCAAGGCCAGGTGCAACGCGCCATGGCCAGGTGCAGCGCGCCATGGCCAGGTGCAACGCGCCATGGCCAGGTGCAACGCGCCAAGGCCAGGTGCAACGCGCCAAGGCCAGGTGCAACGCGCCATGGCCAGGTGCAGCGCGCCAAGGCCAGGTGCAACGCGCCATGGCCAGGTGCAACGCGCCATGGCCAGGTGCAACGCGCCATGGCCAGGTGCAACGCGCCATGGCCAGGTGCAACGCGCCATGGCCAGGTGCAACGCGCCATGGCCAGGTGCAACGCGCCATGGCCAGTTGCAACGCGCCATGGCCAGGTGCAACGCGCCATGGCCAGGTGCAACGCGCCATGGCCAGGTGCAACGCGCCATGGCCAGGTGCAACGCGCCATGGCCAGGTGCAACGCGCCATGGCCAGGTGCAACGCGCCATGGCCAGGTGCAACGCGCCATGGCCAGGTGCAACGCGCCATGGCCAGGTGCAACGCGCCAAGTGCCCAGGGTGCAACGCGCCATGGCCAGGTGCACGCGCCATGGCCAGGTGCAACGCGCCATGGCCAGGTGCAACGCGCCAAGGCCAGGTGCAACGCTCCAAGGCCAGGTGCAACGCGCCAAGGCCGGGTGCAACGCCGCCATAGGCCAGGGTGCAACGCGCCATGGCCAGGTGCAACGCGCCAAGGCCAGGTGCAACGCGCCAAGCCCAGGTGCAACGCGCCATGGCCAGGTGCAACGCGCCAAGGCCAGGCTCAACGCTCCAAGGCCAGGTGCAACGCTCCAAGGCCAGGTGCAACGCGCCAAGGCCGGGTGCAACGTGCCAAGGCCAGGTACAACGCGCCATGGCCAGGTGCAACGCGCCATGGCCAGGTGCAACGCGCCATGGCCAGGTGCAACGCGCCATGGCCAGGTGCAACGCGCCAAGGCCAGGTGCAACGCGCCAAGGCCAGGTGCAACGCGCCATGACCAGGTGCAACGCGCCAAGGCCAGGTGCAACGCGCCATGGACAGGTGCAACGCGCCATGGCCAGGTGCAACGCGCCAAGGCCAGGTGCAACGCGCCATGGCCAGGTGCAACGCGCCAAGGCCAGGTGCAACGCGCCAAGAGCCAGGTGCAACGCGCCATAGCCAGGTGCAACGCGCCATAGCCAGGTGCAACGCGCCAAGGCCAGGTGCAACGCGCCATGGCCAGGTGCAACGCGCCAAGGCCAGGTGCAACGCGCCATAGCCAGGTGCAACGCACCAAGGCCAGGTGCAACGCGCCATGGCCAGGTGCAACGCGCCATGGCCAGGTGCAACGCGCCATGGCCAGGTGCAACGCGCCAAGGCCAGGTGCAACGCGCCAAGGCCAGGTGCAACGCGCCATGGCCAGGTGCAACGCGCCATGGCCAGGTGCAACGCGCCATGGCCAGGTGCAACGCGCCATGGCCAGGTGCAACGCGCCATGGCCAGGTGCAACGCGCCAAGGCCAGGTGCAACGCGCCATGGCCAGGTGCAACTCGCCATGGCCAGGTGCAACGCTCCATGGCCAGGTGCAACGCGCCATGGCCAGGTGCAACGCGCCAAGGCCAGGTGCAACGCGCCATGGCCAGGTGCAACGCGCCATGGCCAGGTGCAACGCGCCAAGGCCAGGTGCAACGCGCCATGGCCAGGTGCAACGCGCCAAGGCCAGGTGCAACGCGCCAAGGCCAGGTGCAACGCGCCATGGCCAGGTGCAACGCGCCATGGCCAGGTGCAACGCGCCAAGGCCAGGTGCAACGCGCCATGGCCAGGTGCAACGCGCCATGGCCAGGTGCAACGCGCCATGGCCAGGTGCAACGGGCCATGGCCAGGTGCAACGCGCCATGGCCAGGTGCAACGCGCCATGGCCAGGTGCAACGCGCCAAGGCCAGGTGCAACGCTCCATGGCGAGGTGCAACGCGCCATGGCCAGGTGCAACGCGCCAAGGCCAGGTGCAACGCGCCATGGCCAGGTGCAACGCGCCATGGCCAGGTGCAACGCGCCATGGCCAGGTGCAACGCGCCATGGCCAGGTGCAACTCGCCAAGGCCAGGTGCAACGCGCCATGGCCAGGTGCAGCGCGCCATGGCCAGGTGCAACGCGCCATGGCCAGGTGCAACGCGCCAAGGCCAGGTGCAACGCTCCAAGGCCAGGTGCAACGCGCCAAGGCCGGGTGCAACGCGCCAAGGCCAGGTACAACGCGCCATGGCCAGGTGCAACGCGCCATGGCCAGGTGCAACGCGCCAAGGCCAGGTGCAACGCGCCAAGCCCAGGTGCAACGCGCCATGGCCAGGTGCAACGCGCCAAGGCCAGGCTCAACGCTCCAAGGCCAGGTGCAACGCGCCAAGGCCGGGTGCAACGCGCCAAGGCCAGGTACAACGCGCCATGGCCAGGTGCAACGCGCCATGGCCAGGTGCAACGCGCCATGGCCAGGTGCAACGCGCCAAGGCCAGGTGCAACGCGCCAAGGCCAGGTGCAACGCGCCAAGGCCAGGTGCAACGCGCCATGGCCAGGTGCAACGCGCCAAGGCCAGGTGCAACGCGCCATGGCCAGGTGCAACGCGCCATGGCCAGGTGCAACGCGCCATGGCCAGGTGCAACGCGCCATGGCCAGGTGCAACGAGCCAAGGCCAGGTGCAACGCGCCAAGGCCAGGTGCAACGCGCCAAGGCCAGGTGCAACGCGCCATAACCAGGTGCAACGCGCCAAGGCCAGGTGCAACGCGCCATGGCCAGGTGCAACGCGCCAAGGCCAGGTGCAACGCGCCATAGCCAGGTGCAACGCGCCATAGCCAGGTGCAACGCGCCAAGGCCAGGTGCAACGCGCCATGGCCAGGTGCAACGCGCCATGGCCAGGTGCAACGCGCCAAGGCCAGGTGCAACACGCCAAGGCCAGGTGCAACGCGCCATGGCCAGGTGCAACGCTCCATGGCCAGGTGCAATGCGCCATGGCCAGGTGCAACGCGCCATGGCCAGGTGCAACGCGGCAAGGCCAGGTGCAATGCGCTATGGCCAGGTGCAACGCGCCAAGGCCAGGTGCAACGCGCCATGGCGCCTGTGACTGCCGTGCTCATGCCCCTCCCTGCTCGTCTCGCCCACCAACCCCCTCCGCCACCCCTCCCCTCCCTTCCTGTCCCTCCACCTCAGAGCGGCAGCACCAAAGCCAAGGTGCAACGCGCAATGGCGTTTGTCAAAGCCGGACTGACACCCCCCCCTGAGCTGCAGACACTGCTGCTGCGGGAGAGACGCGGAGGGGCGAGAGAGGAGAGCGCGGTGGATGGTGAGGAGAGTGAGGAGGAGGGGAATGGTGGGTTGGCGTGGAAAGAAGAGAGGGGAAGAGGGAGGAGTGGGGAGGAAGGTGGGGAAGGGAGAGGGGTGGGTGAGGGGAGTAGAGAGGCGGCAGGGAAGGACGAGGACGAACAGGAGGGCGAATTGCAGATGGCCAAGGCTGGGACGGCGGACGGTGGTGCGGCTGTGAGAGAGGCCAGGCAGAGCAGCCGGGAGTACAGGGAGAGACACAAGGAGGACGCAAGAGAGGAGGGGGAGGTCAGTGATGATGGTGAGGAGGAGGGGGGAGGGGAGGAGGAGGAGGGAGGGGAGGAGGAGGAGGAGGGAGGTGAGGAAGAGGATGAAAGGGAGGAGTGTGAGGAAGTGAGGAAGGAGGCCGAGGGGCAGGAGGATCGAGGTGGAGCGATGAGCCACCAGAGAATGGCGGCCAGCCAGGATAGCCAGCAGCAAGGCGTGAAGGGCCACCAGGAGGGGATGGAGGAAGCTGCGAGGAAGGAGGAGAGTCTCAAGGATGACGTCATCATGAGTGAATGCTGTAGGGGTGAAGGGCAGCAGCAGCAGCAGCAGGCACAGGCAGGGCGGGCAGAGGAGGGAAGGCTGGGAGGGGAGAATGGGGAGGGAGAGGAGGGAGGGGCAGGAGGGGCGGGAGGGGTTGGTGGTGCGAGGGGCGAGGAGGAGGGCAAGGCAGGGCGGGGCGGCAAGCTGTGGGTGCACGTGCAGCGGCGCGCCGAGATAGAGGCGCAGCGCGGGGGGCTGCCGGTGGTGGCGATGGAGGCGGACATCATGGAGGCCGTGGCGGCGAGCAGCGCCGTCATCGTGTGCGGGGAGACGGGCTCGGGCAAGACCACGCAAGTGCCGCAGGTGGGTGTGTGGGTGCGTGTGTGGGTGTGGATGTGGGTGGTGTGAGAGGGGTGGGGGAGCTGTGTCAACCAGGCAACGCAGCTGCCCCATCTTTCACCCCTTCCCTCCTCCCCCTTGCATTCCCCTGCCCCCTTCACCCCATACATGCATCACTCCTCCCCTCCCCCCTCTCTCTGCATGCCTCCATCTCCACCACCCTACCCTCTTCTCCTGCTCCCCTCTTTGCTCCGCCCCCTCCCCCCTCTCCTCCCGCCCTCCCCTCCCCCACCCCCCTCTCCCCAACCGCTCCTCCCTCCCCCCCCTCCGCGTCCCCCTCTGCCCTCGCCCCTCGGGTCTTCCACGAGCCTGCCTGCGCTTCCGCCCTCCAAAGGCCACCCGCCATGGCAGCCGTGCGCGCGTGCTGCCCATGGCGGGGCGCATGGCTGGCGAGATGGGGGCGACTGTGGACGCGGAGCTGCTTCCTTTTCGTCTCACTCCCCCCCTTCATCCCCCCTCTCCCCCTCCCCTTCCCCTACTCCCCCCCCAGTTCCTCTACGAGGCTGGCTTCGGCTCCTCCCTGCCAGGCGGCACGCCAGGAATGATAGGCGTGACGCAGCCGCGCAGAGTGGCGGTGCTGGCAACGGCCAAGCGCATCGCAGACGAGATGGGGGTCACTGTGGGCCGCGAGGTGGGCTACCAGGTGCGCTACGACCGCCACGTGGCGGCCGGCCCTGGCGGCACGGGCGGCACAGCGATAAAGATCATGACAGACGGCATTTTGCTGCGCGAGGTGCAGGCGGACGTGCTCTTGAGGAGGTACAGCGCGGTGATCCTGGACGAGGCGCACGAGCGCAGCGTCAACACCGACATCCTCATCGGGCTGCTCTCATGCATCGTGCCGCTCCGACAGGCAAGAAAACCATGGGGCGTGGGGCGTGGGGGGTGGAGCATGGGGGGTGGGGTGTGGGGTGTGGGGCATGGGCTTGAGGGCGTGCTCTTAAGGCGGTACAGCGTGGTCATTCTCAATGAGGTGCACGAGTGCAGCGTCAACACGGCCATTCTTATCGGGCTGCTGCCACGGATACTGCCGCTGACGCAGGCAAGCATGGCGTGGGGTGTGGGACGTGTGGGGTGTAAAGAGTTGGGCATGCGACACGGCACACTCACAGTTGGACCCATGTCCGACTGGCAGCGCTGCTGGCATCATCCACGTGCCTTCAATGCGTCCACCAGTGTGCCTACAGCGACGCCTAGAGCTGCTCTCTGCCGCACTGCCCTGGGACGCACAGCCCATGCTCGTGCCTCTCTGCCATGGCGGCTGGGGTCGTTCCGCTAGCTCACACCGGCAACGATGAATGCTGACATCAGGAAACTTACCTGCCGATGTCAGGAATCCTTAACTGCTTACATCAGCAGTGATGAGTATAAGTGCTCCATTCTTATCGACCACATCACTACTCATTCCCACATCTCGAATGCTTTCCCTCTCGCATGCACCTCTCACAGGCTCCCTCACACTTTGTTGCCACTAACACCTCATTTCCGTTTGCCCCGTACCCTCCTCTCTGCCTCGTCACAAGCCACCCGGCCAAGCCAAGAGCAGCAAGCACTCACCATCCGCTGCCCTGCGCCCTCACCATCCGCTGCCCTGCGCCCGCCCGCGGGCTCGGCATCATGGGCGCCGCGCCGCGCATCCAACTCTCCACTGGCACTTGTCCCACCCACCTCTCCCGCCCCTCCCCTCCCCTCACCCCACCCCCTGCACGTGTGACTGTCACCAGAAGCTCTACAACGAAGCCAAGAGCAGCAAGCACCCCTCCTCCGCGCCCCTGCCGCCCCCCCTGAAGCTGATCATAATGAGCGCCACGCTGCGCGTCCAAGACTTCACCCTCAACCCGCGCCTCTTCCCCTCGGGCCCGCCGCCCGTGGTCTCCGTGCCCGCGCGCCAGTTCCCCGTCACCGTGCACTTCGCCCGCCGCACCGAGCTCGTGGACTACATCCGGGCAGCCGAAAAAAAGGTTTCGGCGATCCACAGGCGGCTGCCCGCCGGAGGGGTTCTGGTGTTTCTGACCGGGCAGCGAGAGGTGGAGGACCTCTGCAGGAAGCTTCGGAAGAAATTTCCTATGAAAGCGGGAAGGCAGAGAGGGGGAGAAGGGGGGGATATAGGAAAGGGGGGAAAGGGGAGCAGGGTGGGTGGGGTAAGTGCTGGTAGCAGTGCCCGAGGGAGAGCTGGGGATGGGGGTGGTGCAAGGGCGCGTGGAGAGAAGGCGAAGGGCAAGGGGGGGAAGGGAGAGGAGGGAAGAAGAAGGGGAGAGGAGGATGGTGAGAGTGGGGAGGGGCAGCAGAGGGAGCATGACGCGAACCTAGACGCCATAGTTCGCATGGAGGGGGGCGAGGGGGCAGAGAGGGGCGAGAAGGCAGAGAGGGCAGGGAAGGAAGGCAGTGGAAAGAAGGAGGATGGGGCGGGGAGAGGGGAGGATGAGGCAGTGGGGGGCGTGAGGGATGGGGAGGAGGAGGAGGCGGAGTGGGAGGCGGTGGCAGAAGGGGTAGTGGATGAGAGCGACGATGACTACGAGGAGGAGGAGGAAGATGAGGAGGAGGAGTGGGAGACGTGGGGATTGCTAGGGGGAGAGCAGGGGGAGTTGCAGGCGGGAGAGGGAGCGGGTGATGGAGCACAGTCGAGCGGCGCTGCTGCTGCTCATGCCTCAAAGGAGGCAGCCAGCAATCAGAGCCCCTGGGAGGGTGTGGCGCCGCTCTCGCAGCTGCTGCACGCCGCGGGCAGCACGGGTGCTGGCGGGCGGGCAGGTGCAGAAGCAGCAGGAGGGGGAGGCAGGATGGCGGATGAGGGGGGTAATGGGGGGGCGGGGGGAGAGCAGGCGGAGGGGGCAAGGGCTGATGGGACGAATGGAGAAGAAGGGAGCGAGAGGGGCAAGCAAGGGGCAGGTGCCGTGGATGGGCAGCAGGGGCAGCAGGGGCAGCAGGGGCCGGGCGGCATGTATGTGCTGCCGCTGTATGCGATGCTGCCAGCAGCGCAGCAGCTGAAGGTGTTCGGTGCGGTGCCCGAGGGGTGCCGCTTGGTGGTGGTTGCCACCAACGTGGCTGAGACCTCCATCACCATCCCAGGTGAGTACAACAGACCAGGTGATTGCAACAGTTTAGGTGATTGCAATAAACCAGGTGATCGCAACAAACCAGGTGATCGCAACAAACCAGGTGATCGCAACAGATCAGGTGATCGCAACAAACCAGGTGATGGCAACAGATCAGGTGATCGCAACAAACCAGGTGATGGCAACAGATCAGATGATGTGATCAAGGGCTGGTGATTGCAGCAAATAAGGGGATGTTGTCATGCCAGTAGCTTGCGGGGTTTAGGTTGACTCCTTCTGTTGGTTATCAGCTCCCATCACGCCTCTATCCCTCCACTCCTCTTTCCCCCACACCGCTACATCAGGCCTTAGCCGCCCTGCCTGCATGGCTTCTCATACTCGCCCTCACTCCCTGTGCACTCTTGCTCCGCTCCTGTTCAGGCATCCGCTACGTGGTGGACAGCGGGCGGGCCAAGGTCAAGCACCACGCAGTGGGGTCAGGCTTGGCGCGCTTCACAGTGGAGTGGATCTCCCGGGCCTCCGCAGACCAGCGCGCAGGCAGGGCGGGGCGCACAGGGCCGGGGCACTGCTACCGGTTGTACTCGAGCGCGCTGTTTGGCAACGAGCTGGAGGCGTTCGGGCGGGCGGAGATAGAGCGGACGCCGATAGAAGGGGTGGCGCTGCAGATGAAGGCCATGGGCATCGATAAGGTGCGCTCATGGGGGGGCGGGGCTCTTTGGGTCTGTGGGGATGGGGCTCTTATAGGGGTGTGTGTGAGGGGGCTCTTATAGGGGTGTGTGTGAGGGGGCTCTTATAGGGGTGTGTGTGAGGGGGCTCTTATAGGGGTGTGTGTGAGGGGGCTCTTATAGGGGTGTGTGTGAGGGGGCTCTTATAGGGGTGTGTGTGAGGGGGCGGGTTAATAGGGTGTGTGGGGTTGGGGTTAATAGGGTGTGTGTGTTTGGGGGGGGTTGGGGGTGGGGCTCATACGGTGTGGCGGGGTGGCAGCTCACATCCTTCCCTTACCTTCCTGCATCTCCTCCCCCCGCTTCACTCCTGCTATCCTCCCGCTTGCGTGCGTCAAGGCGTCGCTGTGGCCCATGTGTGTGCACGGCAATCACAACTCTCACGCCATCCCACGACTCACTCTCCCCTTGCCCCTCGCCCTTGCTTCCCCGCCCCCCACCCCCCTCAGGTTCTCAACTTCCCCTTCCCCACGCCCCCCGACCCGCACTCCCTCGCCTCCGCCCTGCGCTGCCTGCAACACCTCTCCGCCCTCTCCCCCTCCGCCTCCCCTTCCCTCCCCTCGCCCTCCCCCTCTCTCTCCTCGCCCTCCATCACCCCTCTGGGCCGCGCCATGGCGTGTCTGCCAATCAGCCCCCGCCACGCGCGCACCCTGCTTGCGGTCCTGGTAGAAGCTGCCAGGAAGGTTCCTGTGGCGGATCTGATGGGTGGCAGAGAGGGGAGTGAGGGTGGGGCGCAGGGAGGGACGGAGGGGAGGGAGGGGGAGGGAGTGGGGGTGGGGAGGAGGAAGGGGAAGAGGCGGTACATGGAGGGGGCGGCAGAGGAGGGGGGGGATGACAGGCGCAGCAGGGAGGGGGGTATGGGGCGAGGACACAAGGGGGGGAAAGAGCGGGATGAGGAGGAGGAGGTGGGGCGGGTGAGTGCAGTGGTGGTGCGGTATGCCATCGCCGTGGTGGCGGCCATGAGTGTGGACAGCCCCTTTCTCCGTGACCAGGGAGGCACGGCGGGCCAAGGCGAAGGGGGAGGGGGGAGGAAAGGTGAGGGGGAGGACGGCAAGGGTGGAGGCGAGGGAGAGGCGAGGGCAGGTGAGGGCGGGAAGGGCAGTGGCGCCAGCATGGATGGTGGAGCCAAGCAGGGTGCACCAGGCGCAAGTGCCTCGCCTGGCTGTGCGTTGTCGCGACGTGCGGCACATGCGGTGTTTTGGAGCCGCAACAGCGACGCCATCACGGCCGCCAACGCACTCCGAGCGTACGACGCTGCTGTCAGAGGCACGAGGGGCAGGGGGGGGCGCGCAGCACAGGCGGCCGGGGCGGAGGGCAGCAAGAGCAGGGCGGGCGCAGGGGGGTTTGGAGGAGCGGGCGAGCGGTTCTGCCGGCGGTTCTTCCTGCATGAGCGCAGCATGCGCGAGATGTCGCAGCTGGCGCAGCAGCTGTCGCGCGTCCTCGTATCGGGCCAGCGCGCCCACGTGCTCCAGTCCTTCCTCTCCCTCGCCCTCTCCTCCCCCACCCGCCCTGCCGCGCCTGTCCCTCTCACTCTCCTGGTGGAGCGAGGGGAGGAGCTGTGGGCGGGGAGGGAGAGGGGCGTGGAGGGGCGGGTGGAGCCGGGGTTGAGGGAGTGGGAGGAGGGGCTGTTGAGGCGGGGGCTGGCTGCGGGCTGGGCGGACCGCATGGCCCGCAAGCTGGCACCGGGCGACAAACCTGCAGCAAGTGCTACAGCTGCTGCTCACAACCTACCGAAACGTGCCGTGCAGTACGAGACACTGTTCATGGACGAGCCCGTCCTCCTCCACCCGCGCAGCGCCGTGTTCCGCTTGGCCCCTCCCCTGGTGCTGTTCAACGAGGTGGTGCAGACTGACACGCGCCCCTTCCTCGTTGGCACCACCGCCGTCGACCCCGCCTGTCTGCCCGCCTGCTGCCCCGCGCTCTGCTCGCTCTCCAAGCCGCTGTCCGACCCGCCCCCGCGCTACCACCCGCCCTCGGACCGCATCCTGGCGTCCGTCTCCGCTGTGTACGGCCCCAAGCGCTGGGCGCTGCCGCCGTGCACCGTGGACCTGGAGGGGGGCAGGGAGCGCGTTGCCGTGTTCGCGTGCGCGCTGCTGCAGGGGCACGTGCTGGCAGCCGTGAAGCGGTTACATGGGGTGCTGGCTGGTAACCCTGCGAGCTTGCTGCGGCCAGAGGGGCTGGCTCAGAGGCGGGCGGCTGACCTGGTGCATAAGCTGCTGGCGGGGGTGAGGGGGGGGAGGGGGAAAGGGGGGAGGAATGGGAGTGGTGGTGGTGAGGGAGAGGGGGGTGTGAGGGGACCTGTTGACAGTAAGGCGAAGCTGAGGGCTGCTTGGGAGTGTGACAGTGAGTTTTTGAAGGCGGAGGTGAGGATGTGGGTGCGAGCAGGGCAGGAGGGGGTGGTTGATGGGTTGTGGCCGGAGATTGTGAAGGAAGTGGCTGTTGGAGGCAAGAAGATGGAAGCAAGGAGATTCATGTAGTCAAGTCATGTGACAAAAATGTAGTCTGTAACATTTGACATCTGGTGGTTTGGAAGATGTATAGGTTGAAGTGTGCAATTCACCATGAATAAAGAAATACCATGAATTCTCTGCTAGTCATATGGAACAATGGTCAATGCTGTTGTACAGCGTTTATCAGTCCAGTGGATTGAAATGGATAACGACGTGACTAAATCGCATACCTCCCTAGATATTTTCGTCCTCCGAACTTTCCGCGCTTCGCCAATGGTTGAGGGTTCGAACCGAAGCCTGTGCTTCGACTTGCTCGCCCGAGCCTCGTCAAAAGGCACGCCACCCTCCTTGGCAGGGCAGTGACAGTCCAGCCTGGGGGCATGCCACGGCAACTCCTTTGCTGGGCTGCACAAGGCAGTTGGGCTCAAATTCACTCTCTCACAAAGCTGCATGCTTGCCCGTGCGCTCCATTGCTTCCTCTTCACCACCTTGCTCATTCAGCAGCTTGGATTTGTGTGCCTCTGATATACTAGGTAAGACGAAGTCGGCATGACACTCTCTTTGCCGCTTTGGGTGCTTCGCCCGCGTTTCATTCTTGTTTTCCTCATCACCTGGACTGCTCCTGCTGTGCTCTAGTTGTCGTCGCTTCTCTGCGTTTCGCAATAGCCTCCGACGTTGAAGGCGCACGGCGCTGCACCGCAACCGACCCACCGGCTGTGCGCCGACCACGCCCTGCGGTGGTTGGGCATTCTATGCTGCGGAGGATGCCTCGCCATTCACCGCACCCTAGCTTCTGATCATTCCGCTTTTTTCGTTTCTTTTTTCCACCTTCCTTCCCTGCTTTCCTCGACTCGGTCTCGCCGATTCGAGCACCACCAGCCACGAGCCACACCCGAGCACTCATCATTCTCCGCTTTGCTAGATTCCGAAGACCTGTTTCTTTGGTCCCATGCTCCGTATTCCTTGCTTGCCATCGCGTTCCCTCCTCCCTGGCACCAGCGATCAACCAGCACCCGTCCGCCGTCATCCCGCGGTAAGCCCGCATCCGCCGTCACCCGGCTCGCGAGGCGCGATGGGCATTGCGAGCAGGTGGAATGTGCAGTCGACGGTGAAGATCGCGTTCGCCGTCGTCGTCGGCACCACGCTCGTCAGCTCCTACCTCTACGCGGTGAGACTTTTGTAGTGTGGCCTGTTTCTAGTGGAGCTTAGAGGTTATTTGGTGAATGTCACCTTCGCCGTCGTCGTCGGCACCACGCTCGTTAGCTCCTACCTCTACGCGGTGGGGCCCTCGTGTCGCGCCACGAGTAATGACTCCTGTTGCAAATGCGGCTCAGGAAAGGGAGCCGCTATCATGAGTGCATGTCCGCAGTGGAACGTGCATGTCCGCAGTGGAACGTGCATGTCCACAGTGGAACGTTTTGTCCGCACTTTCGATACCGGCTTCACAAAACGTTCCAGTTGACACGAAAAGGGCATGTTTTGCTTCGTCTCCCTACCGCCCTTGACCCTCTCCCCTCGCTCTACCGCCTGTTGGGGTCCATCTGCTGGGATCCGCTGCTGCCGTACGCCCCTGCTCATACATGCGCACGATGGGCAGCGGTGTTCCATGGCGGGTCACTAAGCCAGCAAGTGCTTGTGCCAGGGCGGCCCCTTGTCACCGTTGCTGGTGTACGTGCTGGCTCTTAGGGGGTTATGATGCCTGTGGCCGCGCCACTTGGGTCGTGCGAGCAAATGCTTGTGCAAGAGCAGGTCTTTGTCACTTGCACTGCACGTGTGCGTCAAGGCTCTTACATGCTTGAGACACCCCCGCCTGTGACAGGTCCGTCGCGAGCAAGCGCTTGCAGGAAGAGGTCTTCATCCAACATGGCGTATTCCCGCCGTTTCTGGTCCGACTCCGCTGGTTTCCGTCGCCGTCCATCGCCTGAATCTCCTTTTCTCACCCAGCCCCCCTCTCACTTGCCCCCCGACCCTTACCATCCTCTCAGAGCAAGTTGAAGGCCCAAGCAGCTTCAGGCGCAGGGAAGAAGTGAGAGGTTGCACATGCCTGTCTGTGCCAGCAAGTGCTTCTCAACGCCATGAAGCCGCCAGTGATGCCTCCAGATCGATCAAGACACACCCATCTCTTCTCCTGCTCCATTATTGAGACTCCATAGCCAGTGAATTAGCTAGAACTAGATCAGTGGACTGGACGTGGTCACTTCAAAATGCACGGCAACTTCAATAACAGCTGAAGCAGTTTATAGCAACATTGCATTTTCGCATGCAGCCACAAGCAGCTAGCCATTAGGAATCTATTTTCCCTGGAATGATGAGGTCTGCTGGCAGGAAGGAGCACGGCTGCAGTGCGGGTGCTGCAGATGATGCCCAGGTCAACGGCTCCATGGCACCCGTCGTGACAGCAGCGTGCATGCCACCATGCAGCACTGCTGCTGATGCCACCACCATGCCCGATTCCTCCTCATCCTCCTCCTCCCCGCCCCACACGTCACTCCCCAGCTCCCCATCGCCCCCATACCCCACGTCGCTGCCGTACCCCGAGTCCCCGCTCTGCCCCTCACTCCCCACCCGCTGGCCCCGCCTCTCCTCGCCCCCCCCCCCGCCTCCTGCTCCCACGGCCCCTCCCGCGCCCACCCTTCCCCCCGCACCCACTCTCTGTCCAGCGCCTCCCCCTCCACTATGCTCCTGGGCGTGCTGCTGCTCGCCCCTCTCATGTGCCTGCCGCGCAGCAGCAGCAGGCGAACCCACCCAAGAGGGATCAAGGCAAGCATTAAGTAGGGGAGTGAGGGGAGGGGGGTAACGAACGGGGGGGAGAAGATGGAGAGGAGAGGGAAACCATGCGGAGAGAGGGCGAACGAGGGGGAGGGGGGGGGGAGAGGAGGGGCGGATGGACAAGAGCGTGTGAGTGAGAGAAAGATTAGAGGGAGGGAGAAAGTGGGAGACAGAGGAAGAGCAGTGGGGGGGTGCAATCAACTAAGGAGCATGAGGGAGCACCTTCCTCTTGTCCCTTGCGGCAGGTCAATCCCCGTGCTGCTGCTGCTGATGTACCCCCCCCCTCCATACACCACCTGCTGCTGCCCCCCCTCCTCACACCCCTCCTCCGCCCCCCGCCTCTGCCTCCACCTCTCCACGCACGCCCCACCCACCCTGCTCCGACTCCTCCCCACTCGCACGCCGCCTCGCCCTCCCCCCCCACAGCCCCTTGTGGCCGCGCTGCTGCGCCGGCTGCTGCGCCCGCCCTCCACGCGCGCCTGCCGAGGCGCGCGCGAGGCTCTGCTGGCGTCGTCGGCGTGACACGGCGCCTTGCCGGGCCGGGAGGTGCCGTAGTACAGCTCGCCACTGGCGCGCGTGGCACGCTGCGCTGCAACCGCTGGTGATGCAGGGAGCCCGCCACACACCCTCCCACCACCACCGCTGCGTCGCTCATCATGTCCCGCAGCAGCAACAGCAGCAACAGCAGCAAAGGCATGACACGGCGCGTGGGAAGGGAGGGGCGAGTCTGACTGCCTGCCCGCATCGGAGCTTCTCCCAAACTCAGACGGCGGGTTGGCATCAGACTGGCGCTCGCGATCAGACTGCTGGCCGCGGTCCGACAGCACAGCAGCACTGGCAGATGCTGAGGCGGACGCGGAGGGGTCGAGAGGGTTGGAGGCGCATGATGTGTCGCACGGCCCGCCAACGCGGTCGCTGGTGTGGCCTGACACCCCTCCTGTGCTGTCACGCACTGATTGGATGGTGCAGCGCCGCCTCTTGCGAAGCTGAAAATGTGGATACAGGGAGCATATTGAGACAACCACAAGAAAACTGAGCAAACTCTATTGTTTGGATTAGGGCATGGCGTGGAAAGTGCAGCAAGATAGTGCCACAAGAGGCTAGCATTTGAACACTAGGAAAACAGCAGCAGGCAGCAACACTAGGAAAGAGAAGAAGAGAGCATTCAGCAGGCACCTTACCCGTTTTGTTCTCTCTGTTGCGCCCACCTCACCTGCTTTCCCTCCCTCCATCGCCCCGTGCCTCGCCCTGCCCCGCCTGCCACTGCCCCCTGCTGCCCCTCCCCCACACCCCCGCCACCTGCTGCACCCTCCCCCTCATCCCCCTCCTCCAAGCTCTCACTCGCCTCCCCCCCTCCCATCAGCGCCACCCGGCATCCCATCCACTCCTCCACACCGCCCCACTCCCGCACCCTCTGCTGCGCCGCCCACACCGCCCACTGCATCCCTCCCCCTCCACTCCACCCACCATCGCACTTACCACACACCTCCTCCACCTCCTCCTCCTCCTCCTCCTCCTCCTCCACCTCCGCATGGTAGTCGCTGCTGTCGCTCCCCCTCTCCCCTGCCAACGCCTCCCTTCCCGCCCGCTTGCGCCCGCACATCTGCCAACCTGTCCCCCCCCCTGCCGCCGTGCTCACCACTGCCTGGTTCCCGCCCATGGCCATGGCACCCGCCCCTCTGCTCTCGCGCGCACTGCCTTCTGCCCCCCCCTCATCCACGTCCGCCCGCCCCGCGCTGCTCCTGCCACCGGCAGGCCCCGCTGCCTGCTCGCCTTTTGCTGCCGCTCGCTCCGCATCCCCTCCCGCCCTCTGCCACCTCACCCGCCGCTTCATGAACCGGGGAGATTTCAACACACCCTCTCCACCAGCCGTGCCAGCAGCCGGACCACTGCCAGCAGGCGCATCACTCACCCCTCCTACACTCCACCTTGCTGCTCTCGACTCCACCCTCCCGCCACTCCCTGCGCGCCCTCCCTGTGCACGCCCACCACCGTCGCCCCTTCCCTCTCCATCATCAACCGTCGCTCCCCTCTCTTGTCCTTCCTCCATTCCCCCTCCTCCGCTCTCCCCTTCTCCTCGCCTCCGCCCCTCTCCCCGCCCTGACACGCCCCGTCGCCTCCCTGAGGGCGCGCCACCAGGGGGCTGGGGCGGGCCCATCGTGCAGTCGCCACTTGCTCGTGCCCGCGCCTCGCCGCGTTCGCCTGGCCCCGTGCCACTGGGTGCTACGGCGTTTGGGGCCTCGCCTGGCAGCCCCGCACAGCGCAGCGGCCCCTGTGCAGGGCTGGCCATGTGAGCGCTGGCGCCCGCACTGCTGCCAGGGGTGCTCATCGCTACCAGGTGCTTGCCGCTCCCCTCGCCTTGCGC